TGAAATTTAATTTGTACAAATAATACAATGTTTGGTAGTTGGTTAGGAGGTAAGTTGCTTGTATATAAAATTAATACTTCTTCAATTTGTTTGACCTACTTTTTTTTTAATCCATCTCAAAAAGAATGATCCTTTCTTTTTTAGCAACTTCTTAATTTCAACTTTCTCCGTTACATGCTTAAAATCACAAGATTAAAGGACATTATTTTGATACATTTGTTGGATCTTAATTAACTTTAGACCACAAAATTCAAATTATTTACTTTAATTTTTTAAACTCCGTATCAAGTATAAACAAGTCACTCAATTTGAGACGAAGGGAGTACGATGTTTTGTTTGCAATATAGAAATTTGCATAATTAACATATGTATACGTTATAAGAGAATTTATGTATTATTTTAAGCATGATAAAAGGTGAAATAAGTTATACATAAATAATTGATTAATGTCTACATAAAATGATATATAAATTCTCTCCAAACTATTTCTTATGTTATTAATATCTGCATAACTCTAACCGACTATCAAACAACTTCTAAAGAACTATCAAGTTGGACATCTTGCTGAGATTTAAATATCAATAATGTGATATCACAAATGGGAAAACCACAGATGTATCTCTGCATTCCCAATTTGATCAGATTGATTAGGAATAAAGAAAATAACACAAAACGAAAAATTTGCTATTTTTAATTCTTTTATCTTCATTGGGCTCAATGAGACAAATGTACTAGCTAAGGACTTTTTTTTTTATTTCTTCCTGTTTTTATGGGGAGACTAGCTTAACAGCTGGAAATGAAAGCAAGGCATGTGAAGATAATCTCATTTTGTATCTATATCTCTAATCTCTAGACACGTACTATCAAAATAAAGGAAGATGATATCCAAGGTGATTGAATTAGCAAATCAAACAATTTAGGAGAGGTAATTAGACATGACATAACATAATTTTAACTTATTGGGAACATGACGTTAGATCAAAGATTACGAAGAATTATAAATTAGAATAGAATGTTGGTAGGTGGCTGATTGTTATTTTGCTTATCCTTCCATACTTAGATATTTACAATTCACTTGTAAATACTAAATACAAGTAAATTGAGGCTTGATATCAAAGGAACTTTTAAGTATTTTGAGTCTATTATTCAAGGTAATGGAAAATTGACGATGATGTCATATATCGTATTAGTACAAAATGGATGAAATGAAGACTCGCATTTGGAGTAATGTGTGACAAGAAGGTGCCACCAAAACTTAAAGACAATTAGTTCTATAGAGTGGTGGTTAGACCGACTATATATGTTGTATAGAACAGAGTGTAGGTCGGACAAGAACTCTCATGTTCAGAAGATTAGAGTTGTGGAAATGAGGACGTTCAGGTAAATATGGACAAACTAAGAGAGATAAAACTAGAAATAAAGATATTTGAGAGATGGTGAGAGTGGTCTTAATGAAAGATAAGATATAGAAGGCGAGGTTGAGATAGTTCAAGCATGCATGTGAAGAGCAGATGCATGGATGCTCTTGTGCAGATGTGTGAAAGGTTTACTATATGGATGGGTTCAGGAGAGGTAGAGGTGATTAGACATGACATGACACAATTTTAGCATACTGATGATATGACCTTAGATAAGATTGAGATTACAGAGGACTACAATTTATGATAGAAGGTTCATAAGTAATTGAATGTTGTCTTGCTTATCTTTCTATAAGTTTTTGTATTACTCTTGTAGTTTCTTGTTTCTTCAATTTTTGCATCTATTTATTGTTCCTTGTACTTCGACTATCATCTATATTACTTTGTTGTAGTTACTATTTTTTTTCTTCAGAATGCTTTATGCTTTATTTAGTATTTGCCTTGATTTCCTGACTTCTTTTTTTTTTAGCCGAAAATTTATTGGAAACAACTTTTTTACCTTTCAAGATTAATAAAATCTGTGTACATATTACTCATCTTATACCCCATTTATGGAATAAAAATTATACTTAATATGTTATTATCATGCAATACAAGTACAAGTAAATATTTAGGTTAAGAGAATGAAAGATATGGAGAGTTTTTGGTGGATTGTGCAAATAGTCTTGTCCTAGATCGATAAAATAGGCTCTTGATTCAAGTGAATGAGCATGAAAGCATGAGATTATGGCATGGTCCTTTTTTGACTCTATTTTTGACTCATTCACTGAACTCAAGATTCAACCTATTATCCAAATAGTTGTTAAATAACCCCATCCTTATATTCATTGCCTTTATCCGACATAAAGTTTTATTCTTTACAGTATTGTTCCTCTTCTATGTGAAAAATTATTAATTGGTTGTGCTTAGTATGATGTATATTCCCCTCTTCCTAAAAAATGGGAGTGACTATATATCCACTATAATCTCAATGTCCAAATTCACCTTCAAAATACACTCTCTCCATTTATTTTAATTGTCATGATTTCTTTTCTTAGAATCAAACGATGACTATACATTTTTTCATCATATTGAATATTGATAGGCAAAAAATAACAATTTATAGTACTTTTCGTATAGTTTTTAAATATCTAAATTTTTGTTTAAAATATCAAATAAATGTAATCTAATTTAACTTTAAAAATTAGTCAAATTAATTGACTTTCGAAAAGCGCAGCATGATAACTAAATATGGACGGAGGGAGTATATACAATTTTGCTATTCAAGCTATCTCAAACTATTTGTCGTGTTAGAAGAGATTTTTAACTAATTTATCCTCATTTATATTTTAAGATATAATTTTTCTTTGTTAAGTACTCCACTAAGGTATTTGCAAGTTTCAAAAATAATTATTACAAAAGGTAAGATAGAGAAAAATAAAAAAAATAACTGTCTTAAACTTTCAAAATAAAAAAAATAATTTTAAAATCACGATAAATTTTGAGAATGAAGGTATAGTATTAATATTTTCACAAAATTAGTGGGAAGTCCAAGATTTCATTGATGTCGAACCTAGTTCAATTTCAATTAACACATGAGATATCCAAAATCATATTTAGAATGCAATTACCCATCGAACAACTGATGTGAGACTTTTAACACCTTCTCCCTCCCCACATGCTCCAATATTGGAGATTTGGAGCATTAACAATATAATATGAGGCTTAAAATTGAGTGATCAAACAAGAATTGAAATGAATATAATTGTGATATCTGATCATGTGAAAATATTAATGGATTTTAAGTTTGAGCCTAATTTAACTCTAAAAAACAAACTCATAAGCGTAGAATGGTAAGTGAAAATTTACTCGTCTTCAATATTTACATTCACATTAAGTCACTAGATGCATGATATATGTTTATATAAATAGTCTTTTTATACTTAAACATGGTCTCATCAACTAGACATTGTTGAACAATGTCATGTATACATAAATACATTAGTGTTCGAGCATAAAACACATGACTCCAGCAACGGCTATCCATCGTCTTTGTTCACAAATTTGGTGAAGAAGACAGTATAATTAGAAGAAACTTACAAAAAAAATAATGTATCTCGTGAACCCGTATATTATATTCTAGATCCGCCTTTTATTTATGTATATCAACTTAAAACTTTGTACGTCATCCAATTATTGCACGACAAATTTGTCAATTGAGGGCAAAATATTCGAAAAAAATATGATTTGTAAGCTTTTATAAATTTGTTTTAGTTTTATACAACCTTTTTTTATATAAGAGATTTTCCTTTTTAGATATGAAAATGTTATTTTCTTCTAGTCATAAGATACCATTTCCTTGAAATGTTTATCACAATCTATAATTGGCGTGGTTTAATAAATTAGGTGGGAGATAAAATGAGGTAAATACCTATTCATATAGCGCGTTTACATCAAATCAATTCAACTTATCATGATTACGTGATTTAATCATATAAAAACAAAAATTAATTAACTAAAATTTAGTATCAAAAGTTTTTACATAATTAAACACATATCATGCATCTATTGGTGTGATGCAAACATCATGTACAATTAAACTTTATCCAGGGCATGTGACAAGTCCTTTTTTTCCTACTCGATGTCCGGTATTCTAGATCCCGACTAAATTTAAATTCGCGCTGTGCAAGATCCATTTTTGAGACAGTCCTTACAATAAGAATTATTTCATTCTCAAGTTCGTGACCACTTACTAATGACGAAAAAATCACAATTATCTCACCACGATCGGATTTAAAGCATGTGACAAGTCACTCTCGCCACTAATGCAAACACAATGTCTCGCTGCAACGATAGTTATTGAAAATGGCATGGCCAATTGCGTGATATGTATGGAACTGCCAAATTTAACTGTCAAGAAAACTCTTTTACAGACAATAAAAGGACTAGCACAGTAAAAAAGAAAAAAAGCTACTCCCTATTATGGCTTTTTTCCTTCTACTAAAAACTCGTGATCTTAAATAAGTCATATTTAATCGTGTGACAAAATGGGTAACTTATAAAAAAAATAAAAATATGGTATAACATTCTATCTAATCTTCAAAATACAAATCACTTGCCTTCTCGGTGGAGCTCGTTGCATCAGGCATACCTAGTGCGGGTTACCTCTCCTGTGTGATTTGTTAGCTATTGCTTAGGAACATGAGTTTTACCCTGTGCGCACCCAAAAGATAGCGACTGCGAGTTTCCTTTGTCATAAGAAGAAAAAAAAAACTAACTTAAATCAATTTACCTTAGAAGTTAACATAATTGACTCTCCAACAGACCACCAAAAATTTGTAATAGGATGAATAAGATTTATTCTTTTTTAATGAAAGTTTTCGAGTTCAAATCATGGTATGAAACATTTCTCCTTTAATGACCTTTATGTGATACAAATCCAAATTAGTCGAGCCTCGCTTGTATCGAATATTTTAAAAAAAAGACTAAGCACTAACTGCTAATGTGGGTAACTAAAGGGGCTTAATGATTGCAACCAGGCAGGACGTTAAAGAAACAGGGGACTCCTTCCTTTGCTTTTTTCATTATAAATACAAAGGGGCAGTTTCTTGTTTTAGCCACTGCCTGGGGTTATTTGTTGGTTTTTGGGGCTGGGGTTTTGATACTAGTATTATTTTTCAGGTGGGCAGTTTCCAAAATGGCTTCTTGTTCTTCTTCCACAGCAGCTATGGCTATGGCTATAACCATTTTTCTGTTTTTGTTGAGCTTTGTTACACCTGTGTTTCTTGCTAAACCTACACATCATGCTCACCATCCTCGTTTTGCTTCTCATAACTATAGAGATGCTCTTGCAAAATCCATTCTTTATTTTGAGGGTCAGAGGTCAGGGAAGCTCCCTTCTAGCCAGAGGATTACTTGGCGTAAAGATTCTGGTCTTTCAGATGGCAAAGCTATGGGGGTATGCTTTTTTTCTGAGTTTTTGGGTGTTTTTGTGCACTGCAAATGGTTGTTTTGTTTTAACACTAGAAATGGTTCTCTTTTGACATGTGTAGTTTTAAAGGGAGTGTCTTGAACTTGTTTTTGTTGGTTTTGGGGTGTAATGGTACTGCAGGTTCTCTTTTGACATGTTTCGTTGTAAAGGAAGAGTCTTGAACTTTTTTTGCTGGTTTTGGGGGTGATTGGTGGCTGTGCTGGTCCTATTTTGACATGTTTAGCTGTAAAGGAAGAATATTAAACTTGTTTTTGTTGATTTTGGGGTGAATAATGGCAATGCAGGTCCTCTATTGACATGTTTAGTTGTAAAGGGAGCATCTTGAAGTTTTTTTGTTGGTTTTGGGGTGAATAATGGTTGTGCAGGTCCTTTTTTGACATGTTTAGTTGTAAAGGATGAATCTTGAACTTGTTTTTTGTTGGTTTTGGGGTGAATAATGACTGTGCAGGACCTCTTTTGATATGTTTAGTTGTAATGGAGGACACTTCAACTTGTTTTTGTTGGTTTTGCTGTTAATAATGGTAATGCAAGTTCTATTTTGACATGTTTAGTTGTAAAGGTAGAATCCTGAACTTGGTTAGTTTCGGGGTGATTGGTGGCTGTGCAGGTCCTATTTTGACATGTTTAGTTGTAAAGAATCACAAACTTGTTATTGTTGATTTTGGGGTGAATAATCTCTTTTGACATGTTAAGTTATAAAGGAAGAATCTTGAATTTTGTTTTTGCTAGTTTTGGGGTGATTAATGGCTGTTCAGGCCCTATAAAGGAAGAATGTTGAATTTTTTTTTGTTGATTTTGCTGTTAATAATGGCAATGCAGGTTGATTTGGTTGGTGGATATTATGACGCTGGAGACAACGTTAAGTTCGGTTTCCCAATGGCATTCACCACCACAATGCTATCATGGAGTGTGATTGAGTTTGGTGGATTGATGAAAGGAGAGCTACTGAATGCAAAACAAGCAATTGGTTGGGCTACTGAATATCTTCTCAAGGCCACAGCCCATCCAGACACCATTTACGTTCAGGTTTAATTCTGAAGTGAATAAATCTCAACTTGTAGTGAATAATTTTGTCTTGAATCAAGTCTTTTTAACTTTTATATACAATCTTGTCTTAGGTTGGAGATGCAGGAAGTGACCACTCTTGTTGGGAGAGACCTGAGGATATGGACACCCCAAGAAGTGTGTACAAGATTGACAAAAACACTCCAGGGACTGAAGTTGCTGCTGAAACTGCTGCCGCTCTCGCTGCTGCTTCGTTAGTCTTTAGGAAATGCAACCCATCTTACTCCAAGATACTAATCAAAAGGGCCATCAGGGTATTTGTTTCAAACTCTTCTAAGTTCTGATAAAACTAGTGATTAGTAGTACTCTTGTGTTTCAATTTATTTGTCTTAAGTATGTTTCAAAAAGAAAGTCTCTTAACTTATTTAAGACCACGAGATTCAAAAGTATTCTTTACTTTCCTATACTCCGTGTTGAGTCATAACCAGACAAACAAATTAAAACGGAGGGAGTAGTAGAATTTATCAGAAACCATCATCATTGTTTGTATACTTATAACGAAAATGTTGGTTTTCAGGTGTTTGCCTTTGCTGATAAGTACAGAGGTTCATACAGCAATGGGCTGAGAAAAGTAGTGTGCCCGTATTACTGCTCAGTTTCCGGATATGAGGTTGGTATTATTCTCAGCATTTTGACTCGAAACAAAATCGATGTTCTTAGCTGACGCACTGATTAATATATGTATAGGATGAGCTGTTGTGGGGTGCTGCTTGGTTACATAGAGCCACAAAGAACCCAACTTATCTCAATTATATCCAAAGAAATGGGCAAACTCTTGGGGCCGCGGAGACTGATAACACATTCGGGTGGGACAATAAGCATGTTGGAGCAAGGATTCTTCTTTCCAAGGTTCAATCTTTACCTGTGGTTTTCTCGTTAGATGCTTATTAGTTGGAACGACTTCAATTTAACGGAATATTTTCTCTGTTTTTTCAGTCATTTCTTGTTCAAAAGCTTCAAACTCTTCACGATTACAAGAGTCACGCAGACAACTACATTTGCTCCCTCATTCCAGGCACACCGGCTTCTCAAGCGCAATATACACCAGGTTAAATATCCTACTTAGTTCATTTTCACATTTCTGTTAGTTTCTAGTTCAAATCTGTGGATTAAACTTTTTTTTTACGATTTTACAGGAGGGCTACTCTTCAAAATGGATGACAGCAATATGCAGTATGTTACCTCCACTTCTTTCCTGCTAGTCACCTATGCCAAGTACTTAACTTCCGCTCGCATGGTTGTTAAGTGTGGTGGAGTTGTCATTACACCAAAGAGGCTTCGAAATGTAGCCAAAAAACAGGTTAGTTAAAATCGATTCTGGAATATTTCAAGTATATAGCAAACCGTCAATGCATAAAACTTAAACTCATTCCTTTTTTTGAACGCACAGGTGGACTATTTGTTAGGAGACAATCCACTAAAAATGTCATACATGGTGGGCTATGGAGCTAGGTATCCACAGAGGATTCATCACAGGGGATCCTCATTACCCTCAGTCGCGAACCATCCAGCAAAGATACAATGCAGGGATGGTTTCAGTGTGATGAAATCACAATCACCAAACCCGAATGTACTAGTAGGGGCTGTGGTAGGTGGTCCTGATGAGCACGATCGTTTCCCAGACGAGCGATCAGATTACGAGCAATCTGAACCTGCCACTTACATTAATGCTCCACTAGTTGGAACACTCACTTACCTTGCTCACTCATTTGGCCAACTCTAAGTCCAAGTGTAGTAGATTCAAGAATGAAGCCATGTTGGTCTTTTGTTTTTCTCTTTTTCTTATTGCTTTGTTGATCACTAGTAGTAATATAATATATAGTCTAATCTTATTGGGGATGTGCTGGTGTTGTGGGTGTATTGGCTGAGACCCCAAAAAAGAGGCTCCAGCCCCCCCCCCCCCCCCCCCCCCCCCCCCCCCCCCCCCCCCCCCCCCCCCCCCCCCCCCCCCCCCCCCCCCCCCCCCCCCCCCCCCCCCCCCCCCCCCCCCCCCCCCCCCCCCCCCCCCCCCCCCCCCCCCCCCCCCCCCCCCCCCCCCCCCCCCCCCCCCCCCCCCCCCCCCCCCCCCCCCCCCCCCCCCCCCCCCCCCCCCCCCCCCCCCCCCCCCCCCCCCCCCCCCCCCCCCCCCCCCCCCCCCCCCCCCCCCCCCCCCCCCCCCCCCCCCCCCCCCCCCCCCCCCCCCCCCCCCCCCCCCCCCCCCCCCCCCCCCCCCCCCCCCCCCCCCCCCCCCCCCCCCCCCCCCCCCCCCCCCCCCCCCCCCCCCCCCCCCCCCCCCCCCCCCCCCCCCCCCCCCCCCCCCCCCCCCCCCCCCCCCCCCCCCCCCCCCCCCCCCCCCCCCCCCCCCCCCCCCCCCCCCCCCCCCCCCCCCCCCCCCCCCCCCCCCCCCCCCCCCCCCCCCCCCCCCCCCCCCCCCCCCTCTTATGCACACAGGCCAAATGCAGTTTCATTGTTAGCATATTTGCCTTGTTGGAGCATATGTTACTAGTATTATTAATATTTCTATAGTGGAAGCTTTCTTGTTTTAACTTTGATGTTATGTTCCACTTGTAACATGTTGGTTAATCGTATTCTGAAACATAGAAAAAAAAACCAACAAGCTATATTTGTTATTTCCTTGTGTAGATATCACATTGACAAAGTCAGAGTTTTCACTGGTTTAAAATATAATATGAAGAAGTAAAAAAATACATGAACAAATAAAAAAGAATTCAAATTCTACAATATATACATAAAACATATTTATTTTAATTATATGTAAATTATGTAATTTTCAATGAATAAATCTCTCGGCCCTACTTAACTCCGGTAGACGAATAGTTGGAAAACAAACAAAATTTGGGGTTTAGTGACCAACGTTCAAAAAGGAGGAGTAATTGAGGGGGCCAAATAAATGACCGTTAAGCAAAGAGGCCAATATGGCAACAAAATAAGGACTCAAATTTAAGTATTCAATTGAAGAGAAGGATTTGTCACGTGACTTACAACTCTTTCACAAGTCACAACAACACCCCTTTCATTTTATTACCATCAAAATTGCATTCGAATTTCAAATTATAATAAGTTTGGCCTCCACTATATTTTCCTTTTTCGAGTTTAAAATGATGCCTTCTATATGAAGATAATACTTGGTTATTGTCATGTTTTGCATTATTGTTTGTGTATAATAACATAACTAAACATGAAGGTAGTTCTTTAATTTTGGGAAAAATATTTTGAGAATTTAAAAGATATTGGGGATAAAGTAAAAATAATATAATTGATCAAAGTAAAAAATGTTTATAATGTGAAAAATCATAAATTAAGATGGCCAACTTATGATTCATTTTAATTTATAAACACTTGGGCCGATTGATCCATAATAGTGCCCCATTCAAATAAATATTGAAGAATTGAATTAAAAATGAACTAAGAGTCCGTTTAGATTAGCTTGAAAAAAATAGCTTTTAAATCAAAAATAAAAGTTTAACTTAAATGATTTTTAAGTCGAAAAATAAAAAGTAGGAGGAAGACCTATTTTTGATTTTAAACTTATTTTAAACTTATTTTAAGTTATTTTTAACATTGTCAATCACTTTCCAACTTATTTGAAGTCATTTTTGACTTATTTTTTTAAAATTATTTTTACATTTGTCAAATATTTCGACAAGTCAAAAAATAACTTAAAAATTGATTTGACCAACTTTTAAATCAATTCAATCGCCCTTTAGAATCGAACCAAATTATAATTTAATAAGTGGAACACCACGTTTCACTTTTACCGAGCTTACACATTCACTGAGAAATTGTGATTTGGGTTTTTAGGGTTTGTGAAAATGCAGAGGTGCTGTTCGTCTGCGGGTCGATCTGTGATATCTAAACGATGGTTTTCTTCATCAAGCAATGATAAAATTGTTGCTTCAGTGCTCTTCGAGAGATTACCAGTTGTAGTTCCCAAAATCGATCCTACTGTATATGCTTTTCAAGAATTTTCGTAAGTTTTTCGTTCCTCACTGCCTATTTTTTTCCTCATTTTTTCTATACAATTGTTGTAGGAACTCGAAATGTTCTATGTTCTCACTGTAATTGGATAACAATGATTTATTTTTAGAGCAATAAGTTATTTTTGCTGTGCTTTCTAATGCTAGGAGATAATTTGTATTATAAAGTTGAGAATAATGAGGTTATAGATTTGTTGGTACTAAGATGTCAGCAAACGGAGAAAATGAGAAGGATAAAAAAGAGCAAAGGCTCCTGAAAAAAGAGTTGGTGAATGTAGATAATTATTTAACCTAATTGTGTTTAGTTGATTACAGTAATGTTATTTTTAACTGCTTTAATAGGTTTCGTTGGAGGCAGCAGTATCGGCGAGAGTATCCAGAAAGTTTTCTGAAGAAGTCTGATACCAGGTACATTTCTGTTGCATTGCTTGAATTACACCTTGCCATTTAATACCTTTTCTTGTGAACTATAGATCTTCATTTATGAATGAACTGATGAATGGTATTAAGAGTGTGCATAGGATACTTGAAACAAGTTTAAACATAATATACCAGTGAAATTGCTTTGTCGTCCACGACAAAGACAATTACAAAGAAATAAACTTCTAAGTTCAAAATTTGGATGGGTGATAAATTTTGCAAGAAAAATATTAGTAACTCATTGTTTACGGTTGTAATTTAGTGTTGCTTTTGTTTTCTGTAGATTGTTTAAGTTCTGGAATCGAGCACTAGAGGTATTTTGCTAGTTTTCAGAACTCCTGAATTTGAAAATCTGGGAAAATATTCTTTCTAGGTCAAGTTCTCTTTTTAAACTACAATTAACAGTTAAAAGGAAGGATTTCTTGGTCAAGTTTTCTTTTTAAACTACACTATACAGTTAAGGAAAAAGAGATCATTGCAACAGGCATGGAACCTGTCAAAAATACTAAATAAAACACATTCATTATGGCTCACAAAAACTAATGGGACAATTGGCCATGGAGAGATTTCAAGGTTTTCCTTATTTTACCAATATTTTACTCTTGACTATCTAGCTTTCTGAAGTCTAAATTTACTGCAGAAACTAATCTTCTCAGTTTCTGATTCATCTTGCACAATCATGCCTTTCTTCCAGTTTGGACTTCTCCACCGTTAATCCATACAACTGCTGTCAAGCATTCTAAACCTACCAGCCCCATAGATTGCAGAATATATTTTACTGCAGGAAGACATGAATAATTGTCCCTTCCATTACTGACAAAAGTTAAGAATAGATTGTTGGCGTTTTAGCCCTTTTACTATTTTTTTGTTTGAGAATTTTTGGGAATTCCTTTGTGCAAGAACTCTATGATTAAACTTTAAAAAAAATGCATTTTTTCACAAATACGTTAAGCTCCTGTTGACTCCAGAAAAGGAGTAAATGACATAGTGTACTCCAAGGTGCAGTTGTGGTTCTCTCTTCCTTCAAATCTGTGATGATTATTTTCATGGAAAACGTATCACATCAAAACATGAGAAGCTAGGGAACATAATAAAGATGGCTATACCTATAATTATTTTCTGGCTCATCCTTCCTAAACATATGCATGAATCTCATTAATCTACTATTATACCCCCTCCGGTTCACTTAAAAAAATCCCTTTGTAGCCTATCATTTATTGGAAAAAATTGATAAGCTTAACACAAAAGCAGAAAAAGAAATAATAGTAACTTCGTCCCATGCGAAATTGAACAGTTTCTGTAACTTGGAGAATACCCTTTTGTACTGAGCAATGAGCATTACTATCTTAGCGCTAGCCATTTACAATTTAAAAACTTCACTTTCATTTCAGAAAAAGTACATGGTGGTAAAAATGGCCTAATTTCATTTGTATCTATATAGATCGCGCTTTAAGAAATTGAGATATCTTCATGCAACAGTACACATGTTGGAGAGTAAACACTCTCCCCTCTTTTAGCAGTATGACCCAACTGATTTTTACTCCTTGGCTTGTGTAGTATTATTGCCTTTTCTTTCATGCATTCTTCCTTATTAGCCATTAATTATGTACATGGTTCTTCTTGAACATGCTAGCACATACTGTTCTGTCTAGTGTCAAATGCCACATGGTCAACTGGCACGGTTACATCTATATTTTACATGCAGGGGAAAAGGTGATTATCAAATTGATTATAAACCAGCTCCGCGAATCTCAGAAGCAGATAAGACTAATGATCAAAGGTACCAAAGCTTGGATTTCTAACTTTTGTCAAATATTATACAAGAATCTGAATATGGACATTGCACTATAAGATCTTTTTCTTTCAAGAGTTGCTTTACCTAAATTCATCAGACTCATATTTCCTGACAATGGGTAATTATTGACTTCTAAATTGTTTACCATAACTAAGTTTTTTTTTTTTGATAACCTCATAACTAAGTTTTTGATGTTGAAATGCCTTAATATTGTCTCGATGTAATTGATGTGTTAGTTACATGAGATTTGTCTAATTGAGCATTATATAAGTATTTAAAATTAAGAATGGAGAGCTATTGTTGCTTTTTTCCCTTTCCTTTTAAATGCCTTCGTCACCATCTACCCCACAAAATAAAGCTTGCATCTGTTCTTCAACTCATCACTTTGTCAAAATTTGCTAAAAGGTACTAACCCTTGGTTCACTTTCTTTTTAAATTTAATCAGCTTTAGGCTCCAATATGGCTATACAAAACCTTTGCATTTTCCTGGACATGAATAATATGTCAACAAATATTCAAAGCATTTGTGCCCTTCTGCTGGCTAGTATTTCATGTTACTGATTATGAGATTTTGTTGATATGCATAAGGTCATTACAGCGAGCACTAGACAGGAGACTCTATCTTCTAGTCCATGGTACCACACATGGTAGTGGAAAGCCCGTCTGGCATTTCCCTGAAAAAATTTATGAGTCTGAAGAGAACTTGCGCAAGGTAAATAGTACTTATTCAGTCCATTTCTTTGAGGATTTCAGTAATTTGGGTTAGAAAAATGAAATATAAGTTGCAACTATTTGCAGTGTGCTGAGTCTGCCCTAGAATCTTTCATTGGAGATCTTTCACATACATATTTTGTTGGAAACGCTCCTATGGGTCATATGGTCATACAACCCACTGAAGACAAGAAAATTCCGTCAATCAAGGTATGCACAATTTTAATTATTGAAGTATTGAAGAAAAGGACAGTTAGAAATTCTTTCACCCACAGGCAGTGAATGAGGGAGGGAGGGAAATCCCCTGATAGCTTCTGCAAAGCTTATGTGCTTCTAATGCATAAATTCTATATTTATTATGGCAGCGCTTCTTCTTCAAATCCCAAGTCATTGCAGTCAACAAATTTGATATTAGAAAGTGTGATGATTTTGTCTGGGTGACAAAAGATGAACTGTTGGAATACTTTCCTGAGCAAGCTGAATTCCTGAACAAGATGATCATCAGCTGATGTTAGTTTCTGCTCAAACTTCAGGCTTGGTAGGATACGGAAATAGTTTTGATTATATCCTGATCTGAAAAATCCACTTCTTTCCGCAAATGTAATGGCTTTGATTGCTGGAGACCAATTTTATGTCCCGGCAGCAAGAAGATCTGACTGCAATTTGCCAGTGTGCCATTCATCAAGTTTTGTAGAATTTTGAACATAGGATACCTAAAGTTGTGATGGCCTTCTATCTCAGCTATCACCATTCCTCTTTGTGAGAAGCTATGCTCAGAACTCTGAACTAGTCATGCAATTAATTCAGTATGAATATACTTGTAGATGCATGATTTCATCTCGTGTCATGAAATAAATAAAACAAATTACGTGTTGTAGTCTTAATGAGTTGTGAGCTTTAATACATCAGCATTGTGCATAGAGAATATTCTGATTATCAGCGCCTTTGATTGCTAGCTGCATGGTCGTGAGTAGGGGTGTACATGATCGGGTTCGTTCGGATTTTTCAAATATCAAACCAAACCATTTGTGTAAAAAATTTAAATTTATAAATCAAACCAAACTAATAAAATTTGGATTTTTTCGGATTTTTTAATCTCGGGTTGGTTCGGGTTTTTCAAATGCCAAATCAAACCATTGTGTCAAATTTTTAAATTTATCAATCAAACCAAACTAATAAACCTCGGATTTTTTTGGT